GTTGTCAAGAAATTGTAATTTAAAAATTAAAAAAAATTCACTAAAAATGATTTGTCCCATTTCTACTGACTCCCCCTCATATCATATTGCTTGTTTATATTTTCTTTGCACAAAAATATAATATTCGCTTCAAATAATAAACCTCTACTTGCTAGTCTGATTAACTAAAAATTTTATCAGCTTGGTCAGTTAAAAAATTTTAATCACTAGTACAAACAGGACTTTTTTTTTGCAATTCCTAATTTTATGTTACTGCCAATTAAATTTTACATTATTATATCTGTTTTATTAATATAAATTTTTGACTAAATTTTAACATAACATCAGCTTTAAAATTTAACATATCAAATTGACATAAATTAAATTGACATAGCATCAATATTTTATCAGAATCCTGATTGAAATCAGAAAAATATGTGATTGGAATATCGATCTTATATCTAGAGCTATGATTTTCTGCTACAAAAACAATTCCCAATAATAACTTTTCTAAATTATAATATCCTAGAAATATAATCAAAATCCTATTACAAAATTTCAATCAAATGTCACTTTTCATGCTGAATGTTTAATTGATATAGATTTTTTGTGGTCCTTGCACACTGCTGTTCAGTTATTTATATCGAATATAATATTAATGAGAGTTACTTCTGGATATCTCGATTCAACTATATTAACGGACATAAAATTAGTACAAAGATTTATAACATATATAGAGCATCTATGTAAATTCCTATAATAATTGGCACGATTCAAGTGTTCTTTATAATTTTTCTTATTTACAACGAGCTCAAAACCATACATCGGTAAATTGTGCTCACAAAGAAAAATATCCAACCATTTACGTCGATTACTGTTAATATCTCTTTCTTTTGCCTCAACTATAATTTATATTGTAAAACGGAATAAATATTGGATAGTAAATATTTGAGAACAGCTGAAAATTTAGCCTGCGTTAAGAGCTTGGTGTGTGAAAATATTCTGAACAGCAAGGTTTTACATAAAGCAAGTTAGTTAAAATTTTTATTGTTTAATATATATAACCTAAATTTACATGGATTCTCACTTCAATAGTGTTTTCCAACAACCATTGGATGTTAATTTCATTTCTTGTTTGCGGTGAGTTTTTTATGTCAATTTCAGGGCTATATATCATTGAAAGTATTATACTCTGGAGGATTGGTGAATATTTTAATCTTTATTTATAGTCTCAGACACAATAATTCCTTCCGTAAAAAGTTGGTATATTTTATCATCATCATCATTCACTTTACCGAAAACAAGAAAAAAGTAACATAAGTAATTACAATTAACTAATCTAGAGTTTGGAACTGATTTTATATTAAAACCAGTTTCAGTATATAAAAAATAAAGCTAGTTCAAACTCTAAGCTGAACTCACCTCATAAATATAAGATCCATAGTAAAGAACAGTACTAATAATATCTATTTGCTTCAATGAAAGATTTTTAATAACACGAATACAGTATAACCTTGATATAACGAAACCTTGAGCTGTCGATATATCAAGGTTTCAATATATTGAGGTACCTTACTATAATTAATTCATAAGTTCAGCCAGAAATATTCTTCGTTATAGTGGCTGATTTGGTTTATCAAAGTTTGTTATATTGAGGTTATACTGTAATTGATTTATACGTTCCTAATTCTTTGATAAACTTTATCAACCTAGTAGAAGAATACTTTATCCATTGATCAAATGATAGTTTATTTTCGCCAATTGTAACTTCGGTTTCAATCGCTTTACAACAAGTGCCAACAAGGCCTTTGTGGCCATTGGTATATTCGAAAATGTCTTCAGCAATTTTATTTATATCAAGATTAACACTATATTGATCGCTATATTGATTAAGAAGCATTTTTATCTCATCTTTATCAAAAAAACATAATACAATAATATTTCTAGTTACTAAATTGGTTTGTGCTAGAAACTGATCAACTCCCACTATAGATGTATGCCTAAATTATTTTTGGCTTGCTGTAAATAAAAATTACCGAAAATATTTTAGGCAGCCTAAACCGTAAATAATTTCAGATGCCTAAAATAATTTCGGCTGCTGAAAATATTTTCTAATGCCGAATATTTTCTGACGTCATTATTATACATGTGTGCCTAAAATATTTAAGGCATATTGAAAATAAAAAAATTATATGCAAATGTATCACTTTACGTAGAGATTAAAACTCCAGACATTTATATAGTTTATAATAATTGTCTGGAGTTTAGCGGAGAACTCAATTTTCTATGCAAAGTGATACCAAAATTCTATTTTGATGCAATATTGATCAGATATCAAAAATGTAACTTTGCAATTTCTGTCTGTTGCTATTGCATATTTGTGTAATACAACAAATATCACGTAATCGGCTGACGTAAAAATTATTTTATGCTCAGGACTTATATCGGTTTCCGATTTCTAGTATATATAACTATCTATAAAGGCCGTCTAAAGGATTTTGATAGCGAATCTACAAAAATGTTCGTCCTTGTAATATTTAACTAATCAAAATTCAAGATCAGGTATAATGTAGTAGTTAAAACATACATATTCTGTTTTCAAGTAAAAAGTTGCGTGTAAAATTAAGCCAGAAAAACCGTATTATATTAGAGATCAATATAGCCTTATTAGTTAAATTTCACAAGAAACACTTTTAATTAGGGCTACAGAAAGTGGCACTCTAATTAACATTCATAAGTATTCGAGTATCAAGTTTATTTTTTCGGCAACCGAAATAATTACAGCTGCCGAAAATATTTTCAGCTGCCATAATTATTTTTGGCATTTAGACATTTTGAAGAGGCTGCTGAAAATATAAAAAATGCCGTAATGCCGTAATACCGTAAATTGTTCTGAATTTAGGCACACATGTATAACTCCCACTAGTGCAAATGAATATACACAATAAGATAAACGGTTCTTAAGAAACTGTAATGTATTAATTAGTTTCTCCAAATTTACTGGTTCCTCAAAAACATTAGAAAAATCGTCGATTATAAATGAAATAGGTGCTTTATTTTTTTTTAAAAAAAAAAAAAATTTATAAAAATGTTTAATCCGCAGTCTCTTTTATCATTAAAAGAAAATCATTCATTGTTTTTGGCATGAAATAGTTTACAAATAGACTTTCAAAAAGCCATTTTTCCATTTCTTATATCAATCCTGACACCAAATATAATCATATATATTTTGAGATCAAGAATTGAGTAATTTGTTTGTATTTGACTTTTTTAGTAAAAGGTTTATAGCTGCAATGATAGACGTAGTCTTTCCACTTTGGCGATTACCTTTAACATAAATGTAATATCCTTTTATAAGATATTTGGTACAGTTTTGTAACTATATATTTGGGAACAACATAAAAATTAAATAATTCATTGGCTTTAACGCCTTCAGCAAAATATTTTAAAAAAACAAAAATCATATTAAATTCTTAATTCATTTATTTTAGACAGGTGCTTTTAAAATTCATTTCTTTTAGAAACTTACTAAACAATGTATCATTTTTTTTTTTTTTTTTTTTTTTTTTTT